GAAACCCATGTTGACTTTTTGTGATTACAAAATTATCTTCCAGATGTAGGTTGCCTACCCCTGAGCTAGGTGAATTCTCTGAAACAATAAAGTCTTATTTTTCCCTTACCAATGTATCCTGTTTATTTACCAGAAGTTTATACACCACACACTGTTGGATCAATTACTGCTGTTGTGCTTAACATATAAATTACTAGTTTTACTAAACTCCAACACTCCCCAGAAGCAAGTTTATGATGTAGTACCAGACCAAACCAAAACAAGTCTCTGCAAGGATGTTTAATAAGGAGGACAATTTTAGAAGGAGGAAAGCAAGTACATCTCCTTAGGAACTGCATTTCTGTGGAGAGAGTGCCTGACTATGGTTCTTTTATACCAAAATGATGCAACCCCTTTGCATTCATTCCCATGATTTCTCCTGGTACTCTTCATGGATCTCCTGGTACTTCTCTATGATTCCCAGGGGTTCCCTCTTATTCCAGACTTTAACTCCATTCAGTAAGGATCCCCAGCCCTCTATGTGGTGTTTTTTTTTTTTTTAGAAGACTCACCAGGCTGAAGCAGGGCAGCTTCCTTCTATCAGCTGAGCTGTAGTAAGCATTTACATCTGAATCCACCCTTATATTTTATATTTATATTCTATAAATATGAACATTTAACTCAGGAGATTTCAAAGAATCAATGGTTTGAGTGTTGGACTAGGGACTAGGGAGACTAGAGTTTGCATCCCTGCTTGTTTATGGAAAGAAACCCACTGGGTGATCTTGGGCAAGTCACATTCTCTCAGCTTAGGGGGAAGCAATAGCAAACCCCCTCTGAATAAATGTGGCCAAGAAAACCCCAGGGCTGCCATAAGTTGGAGTTGACATCCTGAAGGTATATCACAACAACAGTTCTGGTGATGTTCCCAACTAGTGTTGGGTGTTCAGATATAAACCGGAGAGCTAGAGAGAGCACACAGTACTATAGTAATGACTAGCTCATCCATGGCTATGAAAAGGTTCAATAAAGGTGTCTGTTTGTTTTTAATCATTAACACATGGTCTTTTATTTTACTTGGGACTCATTGTACCAGCCTTGTAGATCCTCTAGTATTTATTAATTTCTGGAGCCCTGGCTCAGTGCTCGGGAATCATGGGAATTGTATTTTTTTTCCTCAGACATTGAGCCTTCTCTGCCAGAGAGCTCTGGCGCCACAATAAACTACAGTTCCCATGATTCCCTAGCACTGAACCAGGGCAGTTAAAGTGGACTCAATTTGCACTATTTCTGGCAGTCTGCAAAGGCCTGTGTTACCTTTGCACAAACTACATTTTCCAACTCAGACTGGTGGTTGGGTATGAGCAGCCATTTCTCCCAACAGTTATTACTCTTGTCTTGACTGTGATACTGGAGACTCTTGACTGCAAGTGGGCACTTTATAAGGGAAGTGCACTGTATTTGTGTGCTCTCCACAAATTAGCACATATCCATCATCTTAAAACACAATACATTCTCTTCTTAATTCCATCAAATCAAGCACAAGAAAGATTTGCATTCAGCTGTACCTTGGTTTCAGCTGGTCTGGGTTTTAACTAACCAACAGGCCTTTCCTGATTAAATTCCCTGACAAGGACTAAGTAAATTCTCTCCCTCCTGCCGGCATATCTTGCCACACTATGCTGTGCTACGCGGACTGCTTATTGGATTATTCTTAATTATTAATGCCGCAATTTAGTATAATTGTTTTATTATTGTTAATTATTTTAAATTTATGATGTTTAATACTGTTTTAATGGGAGGGTGGGTTTGGGTTTGGGAGGATTACTGTGTGATTTTATTGTTGTAAGCCGCCCGGATTGTTTCGGTAGAGGGGCGGGATACAAATAATTTATTATTATTATTATTATTATTATTATTATTATTATTATTATTATTATTATTATCATTAAAGCAAAAGCAAAGCAGCTTCATTTATATACCGCTTCATATCGCACATGGGATGTCTAAGCGGTTTACAACTGTGAGCTGATTGCCCCCCAACAAGCTGGGTACTCATTTTAGCGACCTCGACCTCGGAAGGATGCAGGCCTGAGTCGAGCCCCAGCCCTGGCTGGTATTGAACTCGCAACCTTGTGGTCTATGAGTGAATGGCTGCAGTACAGGCATTTAACCACTGCGCCGCCAGGGCTTTTTTATTATTATTATTTTAAAGGGGCCATCCAGCATGATGAAATTTATCCCTAAAATAAATTCAGCACCTTAAAAATCTCCAAGCTAAAACCTGGGGTGGATTTACCACTCCACTGGCATGGAAGTCAACAGCTACCAATTCAGGACCAGGTGTCAAATCCTGAATTATATGAATGCCACTGAGCATGTGCAGAGTAACTGATCTGGATACATGTGGGGGACAGAGCAAATATAGTTATCAAGTGTATATTTTATTATTTGATATATTGTCATCCCACCCCTGCCTCCATGGCATTTTTTATATATGGTGACCCTGAGGTGAACCTATCATAGGGTTTTTTTGGCAGGTTTCTTCAGAGCAGGTTTGCTATTGCCTTCCTCTGAGGCTGAGAGAATGTGAGTTGCCCAAGGTCACCCAGTGGGTTTTTATGCTTGAGCAGGGATTTGAACCCTGGTCTCTAGAGTCATAGTCCAATTCAGAAACCACTACACCACACTGGCTCTCATCCCACCCTACATTATGATAAAAGGGCAGACACATATGTAGAGTGTAATTGCTTGTTATCCAGCCTAGACTTGCTCATTTTCTGAAGCATATCTGCATCAGGGGTAGGGTGCTGGAGTGCAGGATAATAGAGCTCCATTTGCAGGCCCCGAAACTCCTCTAAGCAGAACATCCCTCAAAAATTGTGATATTAGTTTTTTGCTAAAACATGCAAAAATAACTCAAAATTTCTGCAAACATGAAACCAGGAGTGACACATTGGGAGTGCCAGTGTGGCCCCTCCAATGAATGTGGGTATGAAAAATGTCCCCTGCTCCCTCTGCAGTTGCCCATCTGCATCTTACATCAAGCACCTTCACCTCCATGCTCAGTGTGTTGGGCCATAAACCCATTATTTCCCATATGGAAAATGGGTGAGAATGAACAGGAAGCAATGAAAAGAATCTAGGTTTCTGTATAAAGAATATTCATCCTTGTTGGCTGTGCAGCAAAATACAACAAAATACAAAATACACAGCAGTAATATCTTTTTTGGGTCAACTCTAATCCATAAAATACATTATGCAAGCTTTAGAAGCTTCACTGGCAAAAATATAAAAATCAGGAGACAAATTGTGATGATGTTAGAATCAAGGATTACATTCTTTCTGAGATGTTATCAGTTAAGATGCTCTTAAGGGATTTCATTGCAGACAGAGGCCACTCTCCTTACTGGTCATGTGAGGACTTGAAATGGAGAGCAATAAAAGACAGATAATAAAATTTCAACTCCTATTAGCAAAGTAAAAGTAACTTCTCTTGAGATCCGTATGTCCCTGTCCTACACAAACTTCTCCTTTTCTAGGCAGAGAACATTGAATTTCTCCAGGTGTCTCTGTACAGTTACATCTGGAAAAACCTTTAGATGCTTTATAGTAGGGTTGCCATATCCCAGTTCCTCATATCTGGGTATCTAATTTGCATATTATAAACATTATTATAACTATGCATGTTATTAATTTGTATTATTCAACACATTAATCATTGCACCTTTTCTAACATTATGTTTCATCCACTACCAAGCATTGAGGCATGGCAATAACAGTACCAAGCTAAGAGCTCTTTTTTCCTTCTTTCCCCTGTAGTTGGTGTGAAGAGAAGGAGGCTTCCAAGCAGCCCCAAAGAGCCCCATGAGAACAGAGGTTGATAATGGAGGGAAGGCTTGTCTCAAATCATTTCTTGATTCCACACAATCAAGTGGGCTCTCTGCTGAGTTCCTACCTTTCCTCTGACTTTTGTTGTTTTGAAAGGGATGTGTCTGGAATCTTCCTGTGTTCCTAGAAGGAAAGGAGGGAGCAGATGAAACAAGTACTGTATACCAATAGGGGGGATGCTTTTCAAATCCACACCTCTTCTTTGAACATCAGAAATTCAATACTTTTGAAATGTTGTTCCTCATTCTAGAAGAAGTGGATTCCACCACCACCCCCCACCACCCCGCCGCAATAAGGCTGTCCTCCTGTTCCACAATTTATACAAATTGAATTCTGTGTTTGTAGTTTTGCAAGATATTTAGCCTTCTCTGTCAGAGAGCTCTGATGCCACAACAAACTACAAATCCCAGAATTCCATAGCATTGAGCCATGGCAGTTAAAGCAATGTCAAACTGCATTATTTCTGCAGTGCAGATGCAACCTACAAATTAAGTCATGGAGCTTATTCCAACGCTCTACTTCCTAGATGTTGTTGTTTTGGAAGTTTCTTTCCCCCTGCCTCCCTATGCAGCCCCTTGTACTATTCCCAGACTGGATCCCCAGCATCCCAATTTTATGAGTACACAGAGGGATGCAGTGGGGCAGTGGAATCACCCCTTTCTCCATTCCCCTGTTCTGTTGATTCCCACCTTTAAACACAACCACCACCCTTGCTATTGCTATTATCCACACAAAGTAAGACAGAATTGAATACTCAATATTTTCCACAGAGGGTAGCCTTACAGTGGTGGAAAGCATACACAGCTCTTTATGGATTATACTCTAACCTCACATTCAAAATTAAGTCCTTTCATTAAACAGGGGACAGTAAGGAAGCCTTCACTAGCTGTGTGCCAACAAGATATGTTGAACCACAACTCCTATCATCTCCTGCCAACATGTTCAAACTGACTGGGAGCAGGGAGGGGGGTGTTGTAGTCCAACACATCTGTAGGATGCCCCTATTCAGGAATGCTGTTTAAGACATCTCCAAGCTGTGTGTATATTTTTAAAATCTATGTTACAGGCTGGAAGTGAAACAGATGGAAGCAGTACTACCCCATTTTGTATGGTACATCTCTTGTTAGCCCTACAGCCATATTTGAATTCCCTCATCAAGCTAAAAACACGACATTCGAGGACCAGAGAAATTATGAAAACTCCTAGCAACAGCATAATGAAAAGATTCCTTCTCTTTTCCTCTAGAGCCTTCAGATCCACATATAATTAGTTCACAACACTTTATGAATATGAGGTTTACTAATTCCTCTTTCCTCCAGAGATTTCCCACCCAGAATATCACTAGTTGAGTACATTTGTAAGGGGTCCTGGATTGTGTGAGGCTGATTGTGGTTTCAGGTTGTTTCTCATATCTAGTTATCAGTCTTCCCTGAAGATCATGCTTCTTAATTCACCAGCTTTCATAATCAGGTTAAAATGGAGTATACAGATCAACAGAAGTCCCCAAACTGAAGGTCTAAGACAGCATATATCTTAACTATTCCTGACCTAAACCAAAAACAGTGTGATTACTTTGAGTCAGCCAGCAGCTGCCACTGTTTTAAACAGAAGCTGAATGGTTATCTTTCCTGAGTGGTTTCATTGTGTATTCCTGCATGGCAGGGCATTGGATTGGATGGCCCTGGTGGTCTCTTCCAACTATATAATTCTATGATTCTAATAATTCAAGGTATGTGTGACCAGTGGACTCACACTCAGTCATTTCTTCCCATTGACTTCAGTGACAATTTTTGAGATGAGGCACCAAACAATTGCAGGTCTTCATTGACACTTTGTGGCTGATAGAACTATTTATAAATTGAATCAGAATGGTTCTCCACGTGAGCCCTGCAATAAACCAGGGGTGGGGGACACAATTTGCTTACTTTTTAAAAAAAATGTTAAAAGGGAAGGTTATGTTATTTCCTGCAACAGAAAGCCAACTTTATGGTATTCCAGAGGCACTGGAAGAGCACTCATTGTTGACAACAACTGGACTATGGAACAGTTTTCAAACTGTAAAGGTTGAAGTCAGCCTTTTACATATGGTTTTGAGATATATATATATATATATATATATATGTATATGTATATATATATATATCTCAGACCACTTTTGTAGCTGTCTCCATAGTATCCACTCCAACTGAGGATATTACTGAGTATTTGCCCCATTCTTGCCACAATGATGTCAGCTAAAAAACGAGAAAAGAAAACATATCATTTTGAAAGAAGTCATTTTCGCACATCTCTACAATAGTGCTGCTGGGGCTGCTTCTGCCATCACATTCTCTTCCACACTGCCCCTTAGCCCTGCCTTCTTCCCCTATGCCCAGCATACCTTCCAGTTTTATTTTATTTTTTCACTTTTCCACACAATGCTAGAGCTCTGCTACTGCAATTTAGGTTTTAAAAAGTAAAAGGAAAAAGACAGAGAAAAATAATAATAAAGATCATTGGCCTGCTTGGGAACAGCAAGAGGGATGGGGGAGAGGAGGAAACTGTGACATCATGTAACTGCCAATATCACAACTGTCCTGGCAGCAATGTTTTACACATGGAAATTTGCAAAACTGGACAATTGCAAAACAGGTTTCCATCAAAGAAAAGGGATACCCTAAACACACTTTGGGAACCCATCAGTATGGATCAGAGGTATCATCATGCAGTAAGTATTGCTAAGGCCACTCTTTTTTTTTTTTAACTTTTCAAACTTTGTGTGTTTTTGTTGTCTTCAAGTGGTGGAACAGGTTACATAAACAAGCAAAAGCATAGTACACTGGGACAGACTGTTTCAGCAAGTTTTGTGACCATCATTTTCTTGTCCCTGTAGCAAATTGGCCTGGCTCACTTGCTTGATCATTTGAAACCTGCACTTACCTTTCTGCTGAGAATCTGCCTCTGTGGTCTGGTTGATTAGACTTATTTGACAGTGAGCTAGTCATCCAGATGTATGGCCAGAAAACATAACTAGGTAATTGGTTTAGAAATTCCTGTTTCTAGTCCGCTGAAATTCATCAGAACACTATCAACACTGAGATAGGGTTAGAGATAATTCAGAAACAGAGGATATGTGTGCATTTTTCTTAAGGCAAAAGAAAGTAGAAATATGGATGCATTGTGACACTTGTTGAATGGTTGTCTATAAAGGCCCCATTCCTCCAAGCTTATAATTTCTTTGATTTAGTCCTTCTCTGTCCTTCTCTTCACAGTGGATATTTCTGGTTCCAAAAGCCATCTGGGTCCAAGACAAGACAAAATTCTGCTTTTTATTCATTAACATTTTGACCATGTAGTCCAGAGTGGGTTATGTTTCAGATCAAATTCATGACTGCACTATAAATAAGAACCAGCTCTGTATACCATGGGGCAGCTTTTTCCAACAAAGTGGTCTTCAGATGTGGGGACTTCAGTTCCTATCAGCTTCAGTCAACACAGCCAATTTTGAGGGATGTCTAATCCCCAGTATCTGGAAGGCATGAGATTTAAACAGAACTGCCATAAGTGGTGTGTCACTTTAGTTCTAGGCAAGAGAACAGCTTTTCAGTTTAAGATCGTGGGTGAACCCAGATTGTCCTGTAGAGTTGTTGTTGCTGTTCTGAAACATATGAGGATCTCATTTTCAAATGCAGGTTTCAAGAGACATCTTGTGGTTTTTCTTAGATACTGCATATGTTCAGTTCTTTAAAAACCAAAAGGTCCTTCATCTGAAATATAGAAAAAAACTATGAAATTAATGGGGTTGCAATAAGTTGACAGTTGAC